AATCATCCAGCCAGAAAAGTGAGCAAAGCGAGAGAGCGACGCAGAAGACGCCGCGCAGTCGCAGTTACGCGCCAGCAACTTGTTGCCAACGCAGCAGCAACATGTTGCTTCGGACGCCGCTGTTAGTAAGATACAATACTGACTTTTGTGTTTTTTAACCGGCATAATTGAAGATTGAACTTTATATTAATCATGCTGCTGTTCGGCAACAATCACTCGCCTTTGCCGGGGCGTGGCAGCTGGCCTGGTCGCTGGGAAATCTGCGAAACCCGCGAAATCGACGAGCAGGTGCCCTGCGGGCAGGCAGTCGAAGCTTCGATCATTTCGCGTATCATTAAAAACCAATAAAAACACCCAATTAAATGCACAGTCGCCGCGCACAAGAACAAATGCCACTTGATCCTTTCACCATCATCGCTAGTGGGGCAGTCATGTATGCATGTGCGAGTATCTGTATCTGTGTCTACCCATTGAACTGACCCTGTTCGCTTTTGCTCCGCGCATTTCCGCTTCGCGCTAGCCGGCTTCTTGCCAAAATAATTACGCGTACAAAGCCATTAACAAGTACAAACGATTGCGCCGGCCCAGAATCGCAGAGCAGAGCCTTTTTTTTTAACTAAAGGAGCGCTATTCATGCACTGAAACCAATAAAACTGCTGTTTATTTGAACAAAAATTAGGAAAACAAAGTATTTTATTTAAAGGTGGAATCTGCATATCCAGGTTTTGTCTTTGGTTTATTTCTTTAATAGTATATGCAACTTAAAAGGAAAAGCTTATTTAATGTACAGACAAACTATAAAACCCATTCATTCATAAGATAATTATGATCGTTGTTTTTCCAAGTGTGGCCACTGTTAACTGGTTCTGTTTATTTCACCTCGTTTTAGTGCCGCCGATGCAGCCGATGCCGCTGCCCATGTTGATGCCACACATGACGTTTTGGGTCCCAATCTCAGTCTCCGACTCGGGCTGGGAATCGGACTCGGACTCGGACTCGGTCTCGACCTTCTTCCCATTTTCCAGATTCGAGCCCAATCCCAGTGGCAGTGGCAGTTGCAGTTGCCAATCCCAGGGACCAGTAACCAGCAACCAACGACTGGCGATTGGGGATCGGAGATGGGAGAACGGGGGCAAGTGATCGGCGATGGAGCACCGGGAGTGACGTCTTCGCTGCGCTGCTGATTTATTTTATTTCGCGAAAACTACATAAATATCAAAAATTATGCTCTACAGAAATATGAAATAAACATATGCCCGATACGTGTTCTTTGATGTACCTCTTTGCTGTTGCTCCGCAGGTTGTCGATGTTTTTGTCTTGCGGCTAGTTTACATTTCCTACTCAAGTGTGATGTGTGATCATATTTGTGCTGGTACAATACCCATGCAGCGCCGAGATTTAAGATTTAAGCAAACATTATTGGCCTTCGATTGCCGATTGTCGATTCTCGGCAGTCGGTGTTTGCATTTCAATAAACCTGCGTGAATCTGTCCGATCTGTCTGCGTATGTACGTACAATATGTATGTAGGCACAATCGTGCATGTTAAGCGAAGTAAAAAATTCCCAACACCTCATTTAACTCAATTTAACAGCACTTGGCATCATCCGGCGGTTATCGTTGTAGCTCTTTTTCTGATTCCGAACTTCTTCCTTCAATTTGCCTTTGTGTATAGTTTTATGACTCAATTTAATGTCTTTCCTACGTTGCGCGTGTGCTGTCCATTTGGACATCGGCTGCCACCCACTGGACCAACTTGTTCCAGTCCTCCATTGTATCTTTCATTTCAGCCACTCAAGACTTCACAAGTCGGAAGCGGTCAGTACTTTCCGCTGAAATCCTGACGGTTGCATATTAATTTTTATAAAGTCATCGCTTCGGCGTAAGTGACTCAGGTGACCCAGTTCCTTTTAATCGATGCAATGAAAGTGAATCGTTCACTGATTCATTTCGATGGAGAAATATCACTGGAGTTCCGTGAATGCCGTTATGGGCAGGTAAAGGTTTCCCGATGATGGCATCGACTTGAGGGATTCATAAACCTAAAAATCTGGTAATTGATCAATTTTATTAAATATAGCCAAAAACAATATTAACTCGAAAGTTCTCACAAATTAGAGGCTATTATCCCAATTTTATGGAACTGTGGGAGATGATTGGGAGTGCCGACACAATTTAAAGTAGATAATGTTTATAGCGATCCAAAAATAGGTACCAATTTAATGGCCTCAAAGAATAAACAAGTTTCGCCTTGAAACCCCGCATGCAAAGTACACATGCTATTTCTATATTTTAAACTTCTAGATAAAGAAAGTAAAACAAGTCACAGCTGAAGGCCGAATAAATTGCTGCCTAAATCAGCTACATGAACTACCCCATATCGGTCAGAAAGTCAGAGGGCCGTCAATAAGGTCATCAGCGATGTCATCGCAAGCCGGGAATGATGTTAGCATGGCTTTTCCATTCGGTGATATAACGAGCGAAGGTTGCTGATAATTTCTCTAATCAGTCACTTGTTTATCGCGGAGATCGCCTTGCGGAACCACTCGCCACTCGGCTGGCGAATATGATTGCCAATTGACATTTGCTCATAACTATACAGATTCCGCCCCTGAAACTGCCATTGGGGCTGATATCGTTATTATTATTATTTTTGTTGTTGATGCGCCACTTGGCAATGCAGGTGTCAAGTGTCATCAACGCATCCTCATCGTGGAGGTGCAGTCGCTTCCGCTGCCATAAATCTTCCCGGCTTGACTGATGATCAACATTTTCTTAGGCAAAATAAACAATAAATAAGGAATACATTTGGGACAAGCCCGGAGGCCGAGATAAATGACGGTTCGCCAACTGATCCGGTTGATAACTCAAAAACACAACTTTATTCAGAGCAGATCGGATAGGGATGCGAAACCCCTGATTTTTTGTTCAGTTCTCCATGTGTGACAAAACATTTGTATACTAGATTACTTTTTTACAGCCCACCGGGGTCATCGACTATTATTAAAATATAATTAATTGCAATTGAAAGCCGTCTGCCAGGCAGTCTGGCTGACAGGCGCATAATTAAAATGTCGTACTGGTTGAGTTCACAAAGAAGCTGTGAACGGCGAAAGCTCCATTAACAAATTACGGAATCGGAATCGAAATCAAAATCAAAATCGGAATGATAATGGTAATGGGAGCTGCTCCATCAATTTGATGTATTCAGCCAAGAAAAATAATAAAACAGGGAAAATGAGTCCATATGCCCTGACCAACACGTGTGTGAATGAATGAACTGTCTGGTGTCGTAAAACCATAAACAATTTTCGTTAGAGAAACGTTTTCATTCTTATGCTAAATCGATTCATATGCTGATCAGTCTGCGCTTGTGGTTCTTTCTTATTTTATTTCTTCTTTTTTTGAACTTGTGCCGGCGCAGAAATTGATGAGGGTTTTTGAAGGGGGGATCAGGGATCTGGAAACTGGGATATATGCGCACACACCTTCATTAATTCGCTTTGGTAGCCAGCGTTTTTTCATTAAAAAGCCGTCAGCGTACAATAAATTTTGACCATTTTTTGTGATCCGGTGATTTTTTTTCACTTTGCGCCTGCTGAGCCGATTTCGCCCCGTCTTTTTATAGGCTTCATTATGGGCCCGATCGCTGTATGTATTTATTTTGCGCAGCCAGGCGACAGAACATAATTTTAACGCTCTTTATCGCGCCGCACCGCTGCGCATGCGCGCTATTGGACACTCGGCGCGAATATTGATTTATGCATCGGTTTTTTGTTTATTTGCGATCTCAGAATTGGAAATTCAAAATTCGCATTGGTGGCTGTTTAACTATATCAGCGCATTTGATCTCTTGCCCCAGCTGCCTTTGACATTCGATGAATTCATAAGAGCGACACGACAACTTAATCAAAGCTAAGCACCGATCATAATTTATCAATTTCTGTCAGGCGGAAAAAAGCAAAAACAAGCGGAAAGACAGGGCAATACAATACTCAAATTAACAAAACTATTATTACTGGTTGACTAACGGTGCCACGGTGGAACCGAAGCCATTGGTGGTCCGGCGATTCTAACAAGCCCCGAATATATCTGCCCCTGATTGGAGACCCGACTTATGTGAGAGCCGCCACTCGCTCGCCTTGAGAGTTTCGGCTGCCACTGTACGTTCCATTTAATGGCATCATAATAGAACATACTTAAGCCAAACGTATCTATTATCTGGGGAGCGTCTGCCCGTTGTTTCAGAAAAGGTCAAAGCGCGGAAGTTCAGCGAAACCCGAACGGGATCGCGATGAATAGATACGGCATCAGATATAATCCGAGTGTGAGAGGTGCTTGGACCCGACTTACACTGTGCAAAATATGTATGGTATGCAAAGCATTCAAACTTGTACGGTATGCCAATACAACCTACATTACAAGTTTCATAAACATCGAAATCCGTTTTATGAATTTTTATTTAAATGGGAGTTTTAACATCCAGATATTTCATTCTAAACCTTTTTTTTAATACTTTTCTTCAGTGATTGCAAATAGTTTTTCGGCAGAGTAGGGGAAGTACGGAAGTCTTGCGATGCTTACGCCATGTTATGAAAGGCTTAATCTGATTAAACTTAACCTGTTCGAAAAACTCATTTAAGTCACCAGATTCTAAATTCTAATGAACATAATAAATTTTGATCGTATCTTTAAATATATGAACATGGGCGGTAAAAGAACTAAGCAAATTGCTTAAACGTCAGGAATATTGTTTAATACGTCATTGATGAACCCAAAAGCCTTTAACGTCATCACAGTTTCCCAGTACCCGTTTTCCTAGGGTAGGATGAAAAGCAAAAGCGCTACACATCATAATTCTTAATTAGCTTGGAAACTGAACTAGAAGTCGTGAGTCGCAAGAAACTTGTTTGTACAATCCGATCGGTTATGCTGGAATGACAAATTATGCATAATCAGCCTGCCAGACGAAGATGTAGTTTCACAGAGAGATTCACACAATTAACGAACAGATTTATACATTTTTCTTTCAAACGAGACCAGGGAGTTCAACAAAGGCAATGATCTATGCATATGGATGAGGTAGTAAAATTATGCAGATGGATGGATTGGATGTGTTGTTGCTGAGGTCTCCAGATCCTTTTCGCTAAGCAAGATTTCGATGTTCTTCTCCACGGATGATTGCTTTTGGAATCTACCGATCACGTCCATTAGAACCAGTCCACCCACCAAGCAGAATCCGGCTATGTATAGGTAGAAGAAAGGACTATTGGGAAAGGAGTATTCATCATGCCACGATAACCTGAACCCCACCCGCTTGAGCTCAACCAACGTCGTTGGCATGGGTAGCCATTTGTTGACCATTTTTCCCTTGAAGATGATGGGCTTTTCGCCCCCAAATCGCCGGGAACCCCTTCCCATCTGCTTGCTCCGGACGGCGGACTGGTACTGTGACCAAACCGTATACACCCGTCTTCCGGTAAACGTTGATTCCGGAGGCGACTTGTTTTGGTTCTGCATCCGGAGTCTGGAGTCGTAGATCTGCCTGGAATTTTGCCGATGGAGCGTCTGATAAGCCTCGCAGATCTTCATGAAGACTTCCGAGTCGCTGGTCTGGGTATTCGCATCCGGATGGTACTTCTTCGACAATTCGATGAAGGCAAGCTTGATCTCCCGGTCATTGGAGCCCACGGGCACGTTCAGCACCTGGTAGTGGTTCTCCACGCGGAGCTGCGACATCGGTTGGCTCTGGTACGTGAATCTGGAGCCGAAGGTGGCCAGACAGCGCACCGGTTGGCCAGCACTGGTCTGGATGGTCCTCAACATTCACGTAAATTTTGCGGGTCCCAAATCGTAAATGATAAATTTTTAAAACTCTTGTTCTCGCATGAAAAAAAAAACAATGTGTTCGGGGTAAAAATTTATTTGACTGTTCTACAGCTGCCTGCCGATCTGTTTTGGATGTGTAGTGAGTGTTGAATGAACCGAACTATTATATTATAAAATCAATGCAATCGTACTTTCCTTTAGATTAGTGTTATTTTCAAAAAAAAAAAAAAAACAATTTTCTTAAATGTAAACAAAGACTTGGCTGAACAACATACTATCCGAAGTCAATGATAAGTGGTCAGATAATAATGATTTATCACCATTAAAAAGGATTAAGAAACCTGACAATACATTTTCTGTTCGAAAATTTCTATAATTATCTGTACGAATAGCGGTTTGAAGACCATGCAAATTAGGAACCCCAATAACAAAAACTGAGTCAGCGTGTTAAATATCCCATATTTGGTAACGGGGCGACAAACCATTTACTAGCAACCGAGATCGATAAAAGATCGACCCTGGGCTATATAAGCAGCCCCATGGCCAATTCTGTAAACAGCCACACACACAACTGTGGTATGATTTGTGGGCCATTATCTGTCTCTCCTGACCTTCCGGAAGTGCCAACGAACTTGGCAATGAATCTTCCACGCTTGGAGCGACGCGTGTACCCTGGATTTGGCCAACTAGATAACCTGATAACTTGCGTTACACAGCCAAGTTAAATATTTGGCACATGTGGGTGGTGTTTTCGAGGCAAACGGGTCATTTCTCTCAGCTGCGGACACATAAACGATTCCATTGAACTTGGTTTTCGCACACTGCGTCAGCGCTTGGGCTTTAGATTACGTCGAAGGTGGCTAAAAACATTTGCACAAGACATTACTATAATTGTTTTTGATGGCGCATTATACGCAGCTTGACAATTTCCATCGAATCACAATGTTTGCCCAGCGAGTCATTCATTCACCTGCGAATTAGTGTGGCCATAAACGATCTTATAAATAGAGATGCTGCGGAATATTCTTCGTTACTCGATTAATGAAAAAAAATTTCTTTGTATTAAGAACTGATGCCATTTAGCTTATAGAACACAATCATAAACAGTTTAAAAGAAGAACTAAATGTAACTGAAAATTGTATTGTTCAAAAAAGTTTTTTTAATAGACGACCGACGAATACAATAAATTATGAAATTAATTATATAAAAAAAACTTTACCTTAAAAACCAAAATTTATTTTTATATCTTACATTTTAGCTTCAGATATTATTTCAGTTTGTAGTCTTTAGATTTATATATTCCAAATATAATAAGTTAAGTCCCAAACCTAACCTTTTTTGAAGAGTACTTCCCCGCTCCGTCTCCAGACAACTTCAGCCTGCGACTGGACATCGTTTGTAGGAACCACCTGCTAATTGGTTTCAGTTGGACAGACCGTGGCCCGACACCTTCTTTGAATCCCAGGAACAGTGGCCTCAAGGCGGTAAGTTCCCAAAACTTATCGCAAAAAGCTGTGAACATTTAATTGGAATTGATTAGGCCGCCGGTCCGGTTGTGGATGGGCGGTCATTAGCGATTGGCGACTTTAAATGATTCCAGGTCGCCGGAATCCCCTTCTATTTCTGCTAGATCGAAGGGCTAGACCATTATTCTATTCGTTTCTGCGCCACTGTGCAGCTGGGTTGGAAGCGCTTTTTTTTTGTACTTTTGGCCGCATCATTTGGCCACAGCCCATATATGTTAATTGACACTACCAATTTGCTTCGGCAGCGGACCATCTAGCCACGTTTCCGTCGAAATCTCCATAGCCAAACGCAGTTGGCCGGCGAAAGCCTGTCCAGGCGACCAAATGCAAAACGATAATTGGAAACAGGTTCTGTTTCTATTGAAGAATTAGCTGACCCATCCGAAAATGAATCCCCACTGAAAAAGCCGAGCTGAAGATTTACGACAAGTGGTGACTGGTTGTCTCCGCCGTGCGCTGGCTCATTTATCTGGCCAATATATGCATATGTGTTACCTATGTATATATCCCCTTTCATCCCGGCTTATTATGACGGGCCAAGAGTTTTTCATTGAACCATCTGATAGCCAGTTTACGAGGAATTCTTTCGGGTCTCCATGCTGGGTCAATGGACAGGAACGCTGCCAAGAAGTCTGCGCCGGCTATGGCTCATCGATTTCATCCGAGTTCGAGTTGGCTCGACTTCTCTACTTCTCATGTTGGTTGGTTTATCGAGTCGCAGCACGGCATACAGCGAAATTTAAATTATTCATATGTTGAAGGTTGAAGGCTGATGTTGCTGCTGTTGCTGCCGCTGCTGCTTTTCGCGTGTAAAAACCTATTTGATCTCAAGATTAACTCCGCTCGGCGATTGTCCGCGGATCAATTAAGACTAAGTAATGGCGTCTGTGAAACCGGCTAGAAACGGAAATACACAAAACTTCCCAAATAGCCGGGGTTTGCATCAATCAAGTGGAACAATTTTATTTGCTTTTCTGGTGAACAAGTTAAGTGGGGGAAGTACTAGTTTCAAAGCGTGAGAGGGTGTCCAGCACTTTTCCTCGTTCATTATCTTACAAAACTATTCAGTTTAAAACTGCTCTTCGAAGCCCTGGATTCCTAAATTCGGCATGTTCTCCATATTCTGTCTTCTTTATAGTGTCTCCTTATCAAATTATTATCACTTGTTTCCGTTTCTTAGCCTAGCTATCCTTCAATCAGACTTTCCGTTGCTTTCCGAGGAAGTAATATTAATGGTGCCCTGATAACTATCAACTTTGGTTAGAGGAATTGCTGTAACACTTCTTTTAGCCACTAATTAGCCAGGTCTTCAGGTAGACAAACGCAGAGGTGGTCACGTGGGTTATCCGCTGCGCAAATTCTGCAATAGAAGATACAGAAAGAATATAAACTTCACTAGATAAGCCGGACATAAAGAGACTTAACGACTATGTACTCAAATGCTCAAATAAAGTACCCGCCGACTGCAGGTCCAATTTGCATTTACAAAGCTGTCGGCTCTTTTGAGTCCCAGAACGCGTTGGGAACCCAGACCTAATGGCAATGCACCTTCTTCCTTGAAATTCTCTTTTAAGAAAAGGTCTTTCAGACTTCGAAAGTTTTTGAAATTTAATACTCTCTGCTATCCTACTCTAACACCATTAAAAACTGTATTGTTGAACGTTAAATGGAAATTGTGTTTATTACTTGGAAATTAAGAATTAGCTATATAAAGCTTAAAAATATAAATATGGTAATTTGAATTTGAATACGTATTTACATATGTATTTTTGACAAGAAAGTTTTCTCTATCGGACAACCAAAAATAACTTAGCGATATAGATATAAAATTAAAAATTCAAGAATGTAACACAATACGAAGGCACCATAACATCTGCATTAATAATATAAATTATTACAATTCCAAAAAGACATATCCACGACTGTATATGGTAAATAATTTCCCTATGATTCGCGAACAGAGTATGAGATATTCGTTATCCGACTGACCGAAAATGAGATAGACTTTCCACAATGCTCAGGCTTAGTCTCGGGTCGGGGCCACTTTAACTTTTACTACGAAATGCGAAATGGCGACCGTAAATGGAACCCTGAACCCAGGGCAAATTGACAAATGTTGGCACGCAAATTAGGGAGACGGGCGGCGGCACTGTGGTCACCATGGGCTTTTATGGGCTTTTATGGAGCACCTTTCGTTTTAATATGCCGTGATTAATTTGCATATTTCGGCCTGCAGTCGGCATGCGGAAGTGGCGACATAATTGTGGATTTATATGCATCATAAATTAAGTTTTCTGCACTTCGACTGGCCGAGCGGTAGGTACGGGATTTTATTTGGTGTTTATCATTTCAGTTTTATTGATTTAATGCAAATGCAAAGTGCCGTGTAATTAGCAGCCACTAAGTCGGATTGATAGAGCTGTTGTCTCAGATGAGAGGCGCTTCCTGAAGCCGATAATGACTTACTAGAAAATTATGGTAAAATGTGGACAGAGCTGCAAATGGCATTGAGAAATGATCGACGGCCGGGCGGGAAATAAAAGCGAGTTGCTGTTTGTTTAGTACATGATACATGAGTTTTATTTGTATTTTACTTGTATCCATCTTGTATCGATATACATTATATTTCGTAATATAATTTCACTTAAATTTTTGTATTCTTTATGCTGCTTCAATGCGGGCTTCAATTGTTTAAACAATACTTTTTCTCTTGGTAGTTTCATACTTTCTCTTGAGTTTCGGTAATCGTATTACATTTAGCATTTCAATTGTGGTTTTATTTTTATTTTCTTTGTTTAGCAGAATTGTTTTTGGGTTTCGATTATATGTAGTAGTATGTATATAATATTCAGTAAAATGATCCCTACATTTTGTATGCTCATGTCATATTTTCAATCTAGATGTATGTCTGTATATATATATTTATATATAGTTAATATCTTAAAACAGCAATTACTTTTTGCATATGTTATCTGTCGTCTGCGCGAAATGATCTTCCATTTCGTCTTCCTTGAATTTAAAGTAAGTTCTGCGACAATAATAATTATAATTATAATTTAATCGTTAACAACGTTTCGTCACTGACACACAAACAAACATCGTCATATACATTAAATAGAATTCTGCATTAATTTTCGCTTTCATATTTGTTTACTTTTGCTGAACACTAAAGCGTCGCCATCAAATCATACGTATATAATATATATTCAAATTTGGAACACAAGATGAGGACTTTTGGAGATGCCATTGTACTAACTGTATGTGTTTGGGTGTCTGTGTCCACTTTTATGAGTTTCGATTTATTATTTTTCGATCTGCTCGTGACTTTTGCTCTTTTGCTCGAGCAAAAGTGGTCTTAGTTGTTATTTTTAGCTACCTTTTAACTTTATTTGCATTAGTGATGCCCGCGACGAGTGTTTGTTAGCCATTAAGTAGTTCCATAGCCATTACACATAACTCAACGGGCGGTTGTCGGCGTGTGGGTGCTCCCATGGGTGTGTGAGTGTGTTTGGGGGTAACTACAGCTTGCAATATAAGCTAATCCGTGTGTTCTAAGTGAAAACATAGAGTTTCAAGCGAGTTTTCGCAACGAAATTCGGGAGAATTGAACGGAAAATGCTTGGCATGATTAAAAGCTAACAGTTATAATTACAGTTTGGTTGCTTAATTTGCGTTTGTTAAACTTTTACCTTTGTTTTATTACCACTAACAAGTAAGAACACATATTTAACCACAATTTGTTTTTTGTTTTCCGTTCTCTGGCTTGTATCTGCTTGTATTCTGTTGCTTGCTGCTTAATTTATACAAATTGCCTACTTAAAAAGTCATAAATCAGAGCCTTACTGCACACCTGCTGCTTTTGAGTGTGTTATTCATAATATATAATTAAACTATATAAACCATAGGCCATATATTGATATGTATTTGATTTTTATACATAAAAGACTCTGTATTTATTTTACTAAACCTCTCCTCTGCCTTTAAGACTAATTGTGAGAATTGTTGTGATGTCAAATGCATTTCTGTGCCTGGTTTCTTCAGTTTTATGGTATTACATGTTTCAACTTTATCAGATTCAGATTTATATTCATCTTGCTTTCAGTGAGTGTGTATTGTAGTCTATTGTATAGCAATCAACATATTTATTACATTGTACAGAGTTTTGTCTACCACCTAGATTTCGATTTTATTATCAGATGTCGTAGCTGATACAATATTTAACTTGTTCGTAATACACAATAAACAAAAAATTGAACTATGTTTCCTCTACTTCGGTTTCGTATTCGCTGTTTTATACAAACCACAAACACATTAACCGTCTAAGGATCCTGCTCATGTATTTCCTATTCCTACGCTTCGTCCTTCTATAAAGAGTTCCTGGTTGTGTGTGCATGTGTGCATGTGAGTCTGTGTAGGTTTGCTGTGTGTGCAGGGGTATGCGTGTGTGTTTAAGTGTGACCAGCATGCTTTCATTATTATCATAAATTAGAATATGAGTGGTTCCGTTTCCGTTTCGATTCGCTTATATATAAATTCTTTTACAATTGGCAGACTACTACAGCAAAAGCACACTGAGATGTGTTCGTGTGAGAGTGAGTGGGTGCGTGTGTGTGGTTGTCCTATCGTTTACATTAATATTTGTATATAATATACTTTATAAAGATGACCTGGAAGAAAGCAATAATCTGTACAAATCATACTAGTAGCGATTAGTGCACGTTTACCAAAAAATCAGACGACGAAGTGTCCATGTCCATGTCCATGTATAAAAATTTAGATCTATAAGCATAACACTTGGAATTTGTCTTTAATTCGTTTGCTCCTTTGCTTCTAAGGCGAAATATTATATTGTCAATTCTTTGGCTTGAGCCGAAAACCATGCAAAATGACAAAAAAATATTCCTAATTTCGGGTGAGACGAAAATAATTTGGGTGGTTGAAAATGCATATAAATGGTAATATCGTAAACGTAGTCGTAGAATGAGTACTTTTCACTTCTCTTTTCTCGAAGGCAGAAGGCATAATACACGGTAAACTGGTGTATTTTCTGTATGATATTCATTAACTCTATGCTCACCGTGAGTGGACGCACAGTAAATACTGCCTCTGGTGACCTCTGACCTCGTGAACCCCCCTGACCTTGGAGGCCGGCCAGGTGGGCGTGGTCGGGGCACAGGCAGCACTCGCTTAGGCCCACTCTTCTCTACAGAATGGATTAAATATCAAGTCTAGTCTTGGAATCGGTTACTTTATATACCTAGGTTTATTTACTTTTTTCCATTTTTTTATGTCTCGGTTAGGAGGCGAACGTGGTGCAATCATAGGGATAGGGAATAGGGATTAAAGCTAGTCATCTTGGAGTTCGTCTCACACTTTATCGTGTCCACAGTTTTAGACAATGGCTTAGTACAAAATTTTAAAGTTATTTATCGTTTGTTAATACCTCCTTTTTACGCAATTTCGGTTTTTGTTTTCATTTCGCTTCTTGCATGGTATAAAAATATAAATGTTCCACATATATTTAAAAAATCCTTTTGTTTAAGTTATTAATTTGCATCATGCAGTGTTATTATTTGTTTGTTTGCTTTCTTGTTTTCGTTTTCGTTTTGTTAGTTGTTCTTGTCTTGTTGTTTGTCCCTTTAAGTATTTAAAGTATTTAAAGTAATGCATAACTTAGGAATGCCTTGTGGATCTGCTGATTCTTCCGATTCGCTTCTCGCTCAATTGTTGAATTATTCGTTAATCGTGGTGCAATTGTCGTATAACTATGCGGAGATTTCTAAGTGAGTGGCTTGCTATCGTTGCTTGCATTGGTGTTGAGTACGAGTAGTATCAGATATAACGGAATCGAATACAGTGTCCTAAGTGCATTCGTCACCTGGCTAGAGGGTCACATAATTTTTCCTATATGCTACAGTTGAAAGCGAACATCGCTCAGTAGACCTCGACCACAGTTCATACCTAATACAATACAATTCAATAATCGTTTATTTAATTTGGTTTTCCATGTGGTTTTCCTTTTGGTTAGGGGGTTTTCTTATTTATTGGTTGGTTTTAAAACGTTCAAATGTTAGCAAACAGTTAATGTTGTTGTTCTTCATAAGTCTAATACTTGTTGAATCTATGTATTATCAGATTGTGTGTGGTATTATAATAATTGTTGATAAAAATAACTTAATTAATATCAGTGTGGCTTACCTTAGTAAATTTCGAAAGGTTTTCGATTTCCATAGTTAATACATATTGATATGCCTTTAATAAGATTACAGAGTACGGTTACAATTACGGGTTACAATTACGATTACGTTTAATTTTACTTTTACTTATCAGCTCTCATTTAGTCTGCGACACACACTGAACTCTAGGGTTGACAATGATCTTTCATTTTCTGGATTTACGTTTTGAACAATATTTATTTATAGATATAGACATACCAAGTACATATACGTTACTCATCATACAATACGTTTTGTGTTAATCATTGATCCAATTTCGCTATGTGTATAAAATTTCTAATTACCATTATTTAGTATTAAATCATTTCATTTTCCTCCGTCCAATTTTCTCACTAGGCCAATTTGTAAAACGTTTAGTACAAATACAATAATATACTGATATGTTTTGCATTATAAATATCATCTTCGCCTTGCCCCGTACTATGCTTAAACCTCATTTTCGATCGATTCCTTATTACAATTTGTTTCGCTTTGTTCGTTTCGAAAAAATTTGTCTTGGGTAGTGCTTGATTTGGGGCTACTAATCCGCGTTTTTTTTTGTTTTGTTTTTTTTTTTTTTTGGTTTTAACTTTTATTTTTCTTCTTGTAATAAACCAATGCCAATTTTTGTACAATACAATTGTTGATTTTCCGAAAATTTCCATTTGGGTTTTCTCATAAGAATCTCGTGTGGTTAAAATTTTCGTGTGTAGTTTTCCTTGGGAATGTGAATCGAAATCAAACGAACCTTCAACCTAAGTATGAAACCAATGCAATTTGGCCAACTATCTTCAGGCAACAAGGACTTTTTTCGGTTTTGAACTGAATGCTAAAATTGTGCCATTAAATGCGCTCAAATATCGCTCAAGAATGTGGGCATGGCAAAAAAGTGTCTGTCATCTGAGCGAGTTTTCCGTTCGGTAAACGAGTATCTGTAAACTTTGTTTCTTTTTGGCTGCCCCAAAGGCTAAATGACAAACATTTTAGTTCTATCTGCATTAATATTTATCAAAAATTCCGCCTATCCCTTGGCCAATTTTTCAAATTAAGCGATTTAGCATTGTGCTCCACAAAAAACAATTTGGTTTGGGCCTGGCCTATGGCGCGTGGCATGTGGCATGTGGCATATGGCTACAGTGGTCTCTAGAGTCTGGCCAGGATGTCCGCCATCCTGGTGGCCATCTGACTGCCTAAGGGTGCGTAGAGCTCTAAGTTCAATTTACAAATGTTCAGCAATCGCCATCGAATTGCTCCAACCGATCCTACTAAGTTCTGTAAACAAATCACCTGCTCCTACACAAATGTCTGCGCCTACTAAAAATTTGGTATCCCTCTGCTAAATTTTATTATTAACGTGTTCTAACTTTAAGTGTGGTTGTGGCTGTGATGCAGTGTGGGTGTGTTCTAGTGTGTGTGTGTGTGTGGTATTTTCCGGGAGTGGGTTTCTTTTAGAAAACCCTTTTGGTTCGCAATGCGGCGCAGATGTAGATCAGAGCAGCGATTCCAAGGAGCTGGAGCCTAGGGGATATGGAAGCACTTCCCGAATCGCCATCGCAAGTACCTAGTAAAAGATAAGGATAAAGTTTAAATTAAAGCACAGATTGTGGGCGGTTCAATGATGATTGTGTATGTATGTGGGCGGTTCTGGAAAAGTCATCCAAGGCATAATCTAGCAATCCTCTCCACTCTTCCTCTCAACAGATCTATTGTCGTTCAAAAGAAATCATATGAAGCCAAACAAAGAAAATAATATGGAAGAGAAGCAAGTTAACAATTGGTTTTCGGTGCGAGTTTTGGTGCATTAGGAAGGAAAGAAAACTTAGGGAAATCTTTAGGCCAACTTACCTTGGACCGTCAAAGAGTCCCGCAGAACGAACTGCTTTGCATTGTCGTATCATAATTTTTTTTACATTTATGCAAACATAGATTAAGTCAAAATTCGTGTGCTAATTCGTTCGAAAGTTGTTTGGCCACAACAAACCAGAAAAGATACGAACTTCAAATGGCCCGGCCGGCGATCAGATTTCAACACGCCAAACCAGGCCCAGAGACCCGCAAAGTGTTTAATTTTTAAACTTTTTAGACTAAGTATTTCAGCCCGCTGCCCAAAGCACAGGGATAACTTGCTCAACGACTTTATTTTGTTAATCCCTGTGAGGGGAAGTGCAAGTGTGCAAAATGAGTTAAAATCAAGCAAGGCAATAAAACAAAGCGAAGCAAATCAATTTCGAAATCAATCTTCGGCTAGAGCTAAGCAATAAATCGCCTTTATAATATCCGAATTGTTCATATTTCTTGAGCCACTCTGTCGCGTGCATTTAATTTTTGCTAATTTGAATTTAAAAGGCTGCCCCAATCATAGATTATACCATTCAGATAATGAAGAAATAAATTGGCACAGCCGCAACAAAAACTACATACAAATTAAACACGACGAACATACATATTTGAAACACGTGTCGCTAAAAGCCAAAAAACGAAACGAAACGGAGCGGAGCGAAGCGAAGTGATCAAAACCGCACCGAATCAAAAGAGAAAAGGCCATACAAATGCAAAAGATATTGTATCTACGAACTACAGGTCTTTAATCCGTATCTCAACGCGTGCGCCTGAGTTATGACACGGCGATCGTTTATTTATCGCGTCCGGTGACATTTCTCGATTCGAGCGGTGCCAGCGTGTCTGGTAGAAACAGCAGGACGACCAGTTCCAGTTCCCATTGTATGGGATTAATTCAAACTAGATCTTGGGTGAAATTTTAAATGGCCATTAAGGCGAATGGGAAGCATTGTTGGCAAGCTCTGTTGGCGATGAAGAATACACCGCTACATATACAAATGCAAATTAATTAACTTGCCAAAACAAAACCTGTTTTCTCAGCTCTTTGGTGGAGTACAAAATGGGGATAGATCTTCGGGTGCTAAGTGGCAACTTTTACCGCAGCCAGATCAAAAGTAGAGCTTGTCATATACCCGCATGTGCGTGCATATGTGTATATTCAATTCCCCGTCAAATGATCGATTGTGGAGATATCTGCATTAGGAGAGGTTTTCAGATAGCTGCTCTCCCCAAAACCGCAGTTCGTTCGCCCAGGCTTATTTGCATACCCGGTCGATTGGATTTATGTAAAACTGAAAACCAAAATTAGCTCCTAAAACCAATACGGTTAATTAGCATAAATTAAGTTTTTATTAATTTGTGAGACAGTAATTTTCTTTTGTGCCACTCATCGATTTGTGGCCAGCTTGCGAGCCAGACTTGGTGGCGCGGTCCTCTACGATGGTGATCTTTCACCCAAAACCCATCAACTTTAATGGCTCCACAACTTTTAAGAGTTTGAGTGCAAACATAAAAAGCCACAACGCCCACCGACTCGCAGCTAATCTATATTACTAGAGACATTTACGGGGCTTCTCATTGATCATTGTCAGGGCCTGGCTTATATGCATATTTACATTTCTTTTCTCGGTCAGTCGTCTGATCTGTCTCGCAACTCATTTTCCTGATTGATGCGCACATTTTGAAAAGCTGACACTGCCATAAATTAAAAACTCGGACGGCGGAATGATGCTACGCATAAATGAAATAAATTCAAAAGCATAACTAAAAATCTTTCACCGAATCAGTCGCGTCAGACCCTCTGACTCACGACCTCCACTAAGTGAAAAAGTAAGGAGCATCAAAAGGTTTTAACTGCTTAAAGCACAGAAAGAAAAATTATTTTATAAAAACTTTGCTAAGAATTGTTTAATCGGAATAATTACTTCAATTTTTATTGGAGTGTCAAAATTATATCCTTATGTTTAAAATAAAGAATTTTATTTTAGGAGTAATTCCAAAACTCACGATTTTTGAAATTTAGTAAAACTATATTAATATGAAATGCCAAAGTTAAATAATTTGTATAAATACAACACCCCTGGTTAAATATAAAATATAGTAATTTGGCTTTCCTGAGAGCTCAGTTTTTCCCCTATAAAAGTAATTTCAATTAACTTCCAATTTGTAGATATTATATATTTTTCTCTCTGCAGCCTTAAATTAACCATTAATCATTCGAACGGTAAGTGTTTACCATTTCGGATTTGGACGACCATTGACACTCGGCCTTTGTCCAGAGACTCTCGAAAGAAAGGCTTGGGATAGGTTGGCACTTCGCCGTTATCACAGGTACATTATCGGAGTGAATAATCCACTCCGGACTCGTATGTTTTGCTTGACCAGTGCTAACCCGATTCAGAGGGAACCGAGTCCCAGCTCGTCTTAAGGTGTGGTACCGATGATGCCGACAGCCATTAGCTGACTTTATGCCGCTTTTTACGATATATCGTAGCGAATACCAAATTTATGTTAATTGTATGCGAAACATACATACAAAACGATATCGACACAACAAAACACAACACAACACAACAGAAGCCAAAGAAAGAACACTGATAGAGCAATACAATGGAAAAAAGAAAGCTCCAACGATGACTGTACTTTCATTCACATTTTGATCGGGGTGTGTGGTTCATTTATATAAAAGGAGTTATTATCACTTACCTGCCCAACTCCTGACTTTTGGCAAGTAATCGTTCCAGAACGAGCAGCGAGCCGCCAAAGGACCTCTGGCCAATTTCTCGATCTTATCGTCGGTGCTGAAAATATAATAGACGGGATCCTCCTTGGAGAAGTTGGGCCATTCTTCGCCATCCTGAGCGGGATTTCTGAAATGGATGGGCGGTATTAAAAGCTTTTCTTATAGCGAACGAGTGGGAAACTTGGCTAGGCTTGCTATAAAACCGTAAAAAGCTCTTGGTGAGAAGCTTGGCCCCAAAACTCACCCCGTCTTAGCAAACTCGATGACCGCACTGAGCATACGCTTGCCCAGCTCACGCTCCACAGGTCGATACTGCAGGGAGTTGTTCAGCGGCTGGCCAAAGAAGTACTCGATCTCATCGCCGTGCAGCACGCCCATCCATTCGCCCCACAACGAGGTGCTTGTGCGCTGCAAACAAGCAAAAGAGTACAAACAATAAATTGGATAAGGTTAGAAAAGCCAAGGAAAGGCCGTGAAAATAGGACCGGCAAAAAATAAGAGCAGAGCGCGACGCTGTCGTAAACTCCGCCAGAAATTATGCAGATAAACATCTTCCCTTTTTATTTATTTATTTGATTTCGCTCGCCTGCTGGCTGGCGTTCCCTGTTAATGGTAAATATTGTCGCAGCATGCAGCGCACTGGAACGCCGAAAAAAAACGATTGAATAAATAAGTAAACGCCTGGTCGACTGCCAGCTCTGAGTTTCACCATTTCAGTCCCAAAACTCTGTCGCCCTTGACAGGCAGCGGCATTAAATGCCCTCGTGTGGCGCCATTTCACGTATCTCACAGCAGTTTGCACTGCAACTGCATCTGGGGGATGCGGAATCGCAGGACAGGCTGTTGCACTGGGTACGTGCATGGGCGACCACGTTGCGTATACGCCCTGTTGTACGATGGACCACGTGTATAGCACCATCTCCTTAAAGAAACTCCCGAAACGCCCAAGAGCGGGAAACATTTTGCTAGCTTAAGCATGAAGCTTGACTATTCTTAAAATTTAAGTAAGCTACCCACAACTTAGGCTAAACAATATTAATAGTCCATTAACTACATTTTTGAACACTACTAAAATATATTTGGAAAATAGTTCTGACTGTAAGAAAATAGCTCATATTATGATCAAAATAGAAACCTGATAATCATTATATTAGTTGTAGTTTTTAGACTTTTAAGTCTAAAAATCTCTTGGAACGATACTTTCAGTAACAATATATAAAATGTTAGAAATACCGAAAACTTCATAATTCTTCAACTTTGTATGAGGCTTAGAAAGCTACTTAAATGTAACAACATCAAAAGCATACTTTCCTCTATTCTTGAGCCTATTTAAAGTTGCTGACCGGGTGTGCTCTTTGCTACACACCAGTCCAAATGCTAATTAGGCAAACCCCTTTGTAAAATGCAATCTTATGCAAAGCGAAAAACCTAAACCTGCCTATGCGATTCTGCTGACCATTAGGCCTAGCCAAGAGCTGAAAGCCGAGAGCTGAGAGCTGAGGGCTAACCACTTAACCATTCAACTTGAGTTGGCCGCAGTCGGGCTCTGCTTGAGCTGCACCTTGACAGGCTGGCAGCCAAGTGCCAAGTCGCATAATGAATAGTGTCCGGGATATGCCATGGGTAATTCTGGTAATGCGAGGCCGCTGCTTTTGCTCCTTCTGCTCCTGCCAAGTTGTTGGAAATTTATGCGACTTGGTCGTTGGCTGTCAGGACACACGTCCCCTATATAAAGTAGTACGTACACACATAACATAAAAGTCCTGCAGTCCTTACGCCTTTTCGTGCAAATAATGAAAAATTGTACGCAGCCGGAGCGGAGAACTAAACTTTTTTGATTTAAGCGCAAAATTGCAAACAGCAGTGAAACTTGGACTCGTAGGTCATAATGAGAAACGCCACAGTCGAAAGTCGAGAGCAGTAGTGAACTACATTGGAGTAAAGTAGAGTGGAGTACAACCAACAGAAGCAGGAGGAGCAGGAGAAACAGTGGAGAAGGAAAACTTATTTAAGTGCCAGGCACGTTGCACGCTGCAGTAGTCAGCGGCGAATGGCGAAATGAAACAGAAACAGGAACTGGGAAGGGAGGTAAAATATGGGAGGACAATGGGAGGAATCCTGGTCAGTCAAGCATGTGGCCAGTGGGAGCTGGGGATGACCCCCTGGACACCAGCCAAGCAGATAGACAATCTGGCAGGCACTTTAGCAGCTGGCGACCCCATTTGCCATGCTTCGTCGCCCCATCGCGGACCCGTTTATGGGCAAAGTGAGTTACGAGTTGTGCTGCTGCAACTTGACGACTGTAATTAAAACTAATTTCATTTGCTCTCATTTCCATTTGGGGGGTGGGGGTGGGTGGTGATGGCACCAACCGGTCAGCGTCTGCCTGTCAACCGCTGGGGCTGCTGGTCTATTGGATTATTAACGGGCGATTTGGTACAAACAATGCAGTCAAACTGGCACCCCACACGCACTAAATTTTGCATATTGTGCAATCAGACGTAAGGATCAACTACTCGCTGGGTAAAACAGTTTGGTTATCACTGTAAGCTGGCGCAAATATAAACCGAACATCAAAAGTAAAGAGCATATTGGCTATTTGAAAAACTAACGAGTGAGCAATCAAAACATAGAAATATATAGTTTTCGTGTACATATGTACATATTTGCAGTGTATTCTTGAGAAAAACCCAACCCAATCCTAACACCAGAGATATATAATGCGCAAGAGTACTAACTACTATGTTCTATAATATTGATTTGTTTACTGCAGTGATTTGTTCGGCCAAATTACCACTTATTATCGTTCAATATCGACTACCAATCGCAGCCATTAGTTTGTGTGTATTCAAGGCATCGAAGCCGGCAAACGAAAATCAATACATTATACAGACCACTCTGTGTATACGCATTGTGAGAGCTGCGTATTTGTTAATCATTAGGCCGATCCAACTGGGTCTGCAACCAACCGATATCAATCGACGGCAGCAGGCACCGCAGCTGAAGTCGCTTAAACAAATAACTGACTAAAATTATGCCCCACACGTGCAGGGCATGCGGGCCGTGACCTCGTAAATTGAAGTTTCATTAGTCGACTCTGCTTTCCCATGCTCCTGGCCCCTTTCGTAGGGTCGTGATCCAGTAACGATTTCTGTCCCTATTCCCTCTTAGCTGCTTTGTTGTATAGTTGTTGTATAGTTGTTGTGTCCGCCCGCAGCCAACATCCTGAGCCTGTGCGTGTGCGTACAGTTTAATTGGCGCCCAACGTGGGGCGTTTCTTAGTATGTGTGTCTGTGCGAGGGTTCTTCACTCGTGGGTGGGCGTGAGTTGCGTGAAACTTTTGGTTACCATAATTATGGCGGCCAAGGTTGCCTGCTAGCTCAACAACAGCAAGAACAACTGCGACAGCGACCCTTACCCCAATAGGTGTGACATTATGAAGTCCAATCAACGGATTGCACGCGTTGTAGCTGTCTTCCACAAATTGCTTGATTAATTGAAAAATCCACACGGAGTGGTCGGACACGTCACGCAAAATTGCACATGACAAGGGACAGGGAAGATATCTTTATTTACTGTCAATGATTTTTTAACGATAACAAATAAGAAAACATTATTTTGACGAAGCACGATGGCAGAAGGTTGACGGATTAATTGGCCAATAAAATCGGTAGCACAGCACTTACTCCTAGACGGTGTGGTCTATGGAATGAGCTCTGAAGAAATATGCCATTTATTAATGTCTTTAATTACAATCCATTTAAATATTTAACAATAAATAAGCACATTAAATTGTAGTTCGGTGAAAAAACGCGAAAGAATTACGCAAGTCTGCTTATTCCTCTTTGATAACCATCCTAACTTTAACCTTTACAAACATGAATAATAAACCATTGAATAACGCTAACTTGTCTTCATGTACGAGTTATTCTCGGTAAAAAGCAATGGATTGGGTATGCTCCTGACCCCATTCTGCCCACAGTACTTTTACTTTCTGTGCTTCTGATTAGCCGCAAGCTCTGCTTGGTTCAACCCTTAGTGATTTACTTGGCCTTTTGAAAACGCCCCGCCATCATTCAGACATTAATAATTAACGTTCACACGGTCGCGTTGACACTTGACGCAACCGTAGCTGCTTCCGCTGGAGATGCAGCCAATGTGGAGTACATCGGGAGAAATTCCACATTTTTGATAAAACTGTTCTGGGAAATCCTTAAAAACAATTTGATACCTTCTAGAACAACCAACTTGCACTTGATACTCGGGTGGTATCTTTGCACTGGACTTAAGCAAACATTTTCATAGTGTCGAACACCGGCGACAGTTATCCACTTTGGGCCTGAGCCTGAGCCGGACTGCTGCCTGCCATTAGCCTTGTGTGCAATTTTAATGACACGCAAATTGCAGGTGCCTGCGTTGCAGTGGCTTCAGTGTGGATTTTTGCGCCGTTGCGCCACTTGCGCCCCATTTGACCGCATTCCGATTGGACGCACGCGCTTCAACGCCATCTTACGTGTCAAAGTCTGAGAAATATTTAATGGGTGCCAGACTGTGCAGGCCATTTCGCACGGATATCATGGGCACTCTCGATGTGGTACTCACGTGTGTGAAGTAGTAGTAGTGTACGGAGGCGCCTCGCTCCGCCAGAGCCTGGGCATACTCGTTGGTGGGGCAGGTGAAGAAGTGATCGCCCACGGCGCGTCCGATTTGCTGCTGGTTCTGATAGCCCGGATTACCCTCCCAGCTGGTATACTGAAAAAGAGAAGCGAAGTTTTCCTTAATATTTCCCTCTTTAACTTAGAATAGTTTATAGCTTAAAGCAGCTCTGCCTAATCTGTGCATAAACTCTTGAAGGTATACAAATTGGTTGATCATCTGAAGTGTGATTAAATATATTACTGTGGCAAGTTCCAATACTAATATGCTAAAATTAAATGCCAACTCAATGGGAATGAAGTCCCCAGTCATCCACGATCCTTGCGCAGCTAGTCCCGGATTTGGTCCGTCCTTAACTGTCAAATGCATATCCACTGCTGACGCTGAATGCCGCAAAATGAAATTAACCGGCGACAGGGCAGAGTAAATGAATAAAGCCACTAAAAGCAATTCAATCAGCTAGCCGTCTCCGTTGACGTCACATTTAACGTGTTTAGCACATGCAGCGATGCTGTTGGTGACACGGAGCAGACGCACGTTGCACTAATGCACTTCGGGGGAATGTGGTAGTGCACTTAAAAAATATACACACTAATTTATGCAAATGCAAAATTTTATGAGAAACTGCTCGAAATATAAAATAAATATTTTAATATTGCTACCAAGGCCTTAAAATTTAAATTGAAACGCATGTCCTCAAAAAACACAAATTTTTGTACAGTGCAGCTGTCTTTTGCAGATGCTTATACATCGCTGAATGCGAATGCGTAGTTGAAAATCACCTGGAAAATGATGGCCTCGCGTTCCGCTTGCGTTGCCTTGCCGAAAATGTTGTTCATAATTTCCAGGTATTTGTCCCGTGGCAGGGCCGTAGCATCGTCCTTATCGAAGTAATCGATGAAATCGTACAGCAAGAAGTAGGTGCCTGTGAAATAGAAAAGGGGAATAAATGTTTAACCCGTGCGAGGTCGTGTCATAACAATACTGGGTGCAAAGTGACGCGGAGAGGGGTGCTGGCCAATCTGGAAAACAATTACCACTACAGGCGGCGCTTCAAGATGCCGACTCACAATGGAGGGGCCGTGCCAAGGACACCGCGCTCAGCGTTAACCCCAAGTCCTGAGACCCACCAGCCACACCAACAACAGGCGCAGCAGCAACACCTACAGCAGCCGCAGCAGCAACAGCAACAGCAGCAGCAATCATAACAGTTTCAGAAGCCGAGGAGCAGTAAGTGCAAAATAGAATAAACCAAAAACATGTACCCACTACAAAAACAGAAGCATGAACTAAGGAGCAGCGGGCAAGCCGACTGCCTTATACCCTATTCCTTGCAAGTCAGCCTAAAAGAAGTGTGTGTTACTTCCCCGCTGGATGAAGTAACGCATAGGTTTCCTGCCAGACTATTCACCAAATAAACTAATATCGAAATACTTTAAATTAGTATAGCTATTCTGTTAACAATCGGAATTTAGGAACACAATTCACACATTTTCCCATAAACAATTATACCTTTCTCTCTAACAACACGGGGTATAACAGGCAGGGTGATAGAACAAAGCGGCTCGTCGTTGCCTTTTATTAACTTAATTTTTATGGCACTTGTTGTTGGCCCAGTTGTTGTTCTGTCCATCTTTTGTCTTCGTCGCACACTTCAAATACGGGCCACACTAACGAACCATAATTGCTGCCTATGAGCGGCGACGGCAGCAACACAACAGCAGCAGCAGCAGCAGCAACACTTGCGGCAGCAACATAGTCGAGTATCTGTGTTTGTGTGGGCCGAGGGCACGTGCAACCCATTCCCAATTTATCTTGCTGGCCCACTGTGTTTATGTTTGCTTCGATTCCATTAAGGTCAAAACCTTATGCAAAGCCAGGCACGAGGAGCTTTGACTTGAATTGCAAACAATATTGAACGAGCTGCCCGAAACGGTCGCTTACCAAAGTCGATAAGTATGCTTTCCACAGGATGGTGAGAGCGAGGAAATGTATTTACATTAAAGATGGGAGCACCCAAAGGTTTTCAAATCGGATAATTTAATACCGCGTTGTTAATGCATCTTATAGAGTTATGCGAACACAATTTATACAGTACACAGATTTGGAAAAGTCATATATTCGTAATCTGCATAACTATGGTAAATTATTTTACTACACGCCGGAACGACCTTGCGCTTTTCAAATATTACTGTACTTCGGGCATACGCTTTTAATTAAATTAACTCTGTGGCCACAAATTTCTGTGCTGTTTTTGTGCGGAAAATCTCACTCACTCCCTCACACACATAAGCGAAATGTAAATACGGTTTTAATGAGTGTATAATTGAGTTAGCAGCAGCAGCAGCAGCAACAACGCGGCCCAACTGATTCAGCGGAACGTTGGAAACGCTAGAGGCGGAATTCAGGACTCAGGACTACAACTACGGAGCCAGCGATAAGTTGGCCGTCTCGGAACGCGAAGCAATTAACGAGCAAACAAGCTGTCTTGCACACACACAGGCGAAGGAGGCACCACCGCACACACAAACACAAACAAGCACAGCAAGACACACACACATTCTCACGCAGGATGGCATGCAATCGCAAGTCAGAGGACTTGCCACCAAAAGCGAACTATTTAAGCACCGAAAAGTTGGCGTCTCGAGTTCATTGCATACTTTTGGGATGCACTTCAAAGCCTCGTTGCTCCGAAGAAATTGTCAATTCTCTTTAATCCATTTTAAATGGAAGTATCCTTTCTAAGGAATAGGGATTCTTAAATGGTAATTCAGATGGGATACCCACATAAAATGCTTAGATTTTGCGTGTGTTGTCCACTCCGCATCCATTTCTAAATATTATACTAACTAATTTGCTAAACCCACATGCAGGTCAATTAGTTGAACTACACAAATAATTTATTTGGGATAACCATTAGGCGGATGCACACAGTCCAGCACACGCAAATAAATATAAATACATCTTTATATATAATATGTTCATAGCATGTATGCACATATGTTATGGGGACGAAGGGCGAGCGATTTTGTCAAAAACAAACAGAATAGGATGCTTTCATGTGCGCGGCTCATCGTAATGTATTTGAATTTGTATTCGTATTGTTGCAAATGCTAGATGACCTTGAACTCACAAACACAAGCACAAACACCACAGCCAAACCCACACACGCACACACGCTCAGCTGAGTAACGGCACTTGTACCCATGGCAAATGGTGGCAGTTGCCTGGCGGCCATGCACGCACACCTTTTTGGCCAAGAGAAAAAAGAGAAAAGAGAACGGTGAGCAGTGAGTGGTGAGTGGTGAGCGAGCGGCAAAGGAGAGAGTAGGTGCAGGAACAGGAGCAGTTGCCGAAAGCAGAGAGAAAGCGGAAAACAGCAGCTGTGAGCAATGAGTGAAAGTGAGCAGAAAAGCACACGTGTCTGCTGTGCTGGATTATTCTGCTCCTGGCAAGACAGGAGCCGCAACAACAGCAACTGACAGCAGCAACACCAAAAACACCAGCACCAGTAGATGACTGGCCAACAGCAACAAGAAAATCGAAAGGAAAGCCAAAGCACGAACTGGCACAAAAGCCCCGAGAATCTTCTTCAATCTGTTATACGAAAAACACAAGCCAGCCCGCAAAAAGGACCTGCCACCTAACACCACCCACCCAAAACACCACCAAACGACATCCTGCGGTGGCGGCTCGCAAAATAATAAGAAAAGGAAAACGCAAACGGAAAATTTGTTACAAGTGCGCCACTTACACGGCCTGGCACGGAAAAGCTGGCAACACAATGCACACAAAGAGTTACGCACCAGATTGATAGGAAGAACAACAGGCAGTGAAATGCGGATAAGGAAAGTGGGTAAGGGAAAATTATGGGAAAATCAACAGCAGAATTTCGCAGAACGGCAGGTTCCCACTGAACTTAAAGGCGATTTATCTAATAGATGGTTACATGCTCAATTTGATATTCTGATAAAGTACTTGAGTTTTCCGTTATTTCAAGTTTAAAACCGGGCCTTGCAACATTTAATGAAAAAAAAATTAAAAACAACTACCAACAAAAAATTCTTTCTTGCTTATGATGGAAATACTATACATATAAGATTATCGTATAATAACCTTTGCAAAAAAAAGGTAAAGATTAAGTTTATTTTAAGCATAAAATTTCATAGCACAATAAAAAAGTTAATTTGAAATTAAATCCGCAATGATAAAAATCAATATATTTATTGCTGAATTTATGCACATCCACTTGTTTTTCCTGCCACATAAATAATTCAATTATATATTACACACTTATTTCCTCCGCAGTCATTCATATAATGCATTTTCGCATTACACAAAATTCGGATTATTTAGTTTATTGATTTCATTAGCTTATTCGATTGGGCTTAATAAATTGATAATTTCAAAATGAAAAGCTTAAAGCCGAATTGCCTCCAATCCCTACAAGTTGCTACACGAATTTACGGTGGCCTAATATTTTTCGAAAGGTAATAAAAAATAATTACAGCATAACTTTAACTCAACTTCTATTAGTAAAAGTTTGCTGCCCCGCTTTAATAAACCCCGTCCCCTTTGTCACTCAAAAATGCTACGGCACGTGTGCCGCTCACGCGTCCCGTTCTGCCCATCAAGTTGAGGGCTCGCTTTTTGCTTTCGCTTTTCCGCAAACCTCCCACTGCCACCACCCACCACCCACAACCCATTGCCCATCGCGCAACGCCCAACGCCCCCACTGTCACCTGAGCGGAATATATATTTAAATAATTTATGATGCCGTCCCGCACAGCTGAGCGCCACATTCCAGTGCGTGTATGTGTGTATGTGTGTGTGTGTGTGTGTGGGTGTGTGCGCGTTCGGATGTTTTTCCTTTTTTCCCGGGGTCACCGCAATTCGCGTGGGCGAGTCTGGCAAGTTTCGGCGGCTTTTTGTATTTTTTCTGTATTTTGACTCCGACAATTCCGGTGCGTTGACACATGCCACACTCGGAATTTAAAATTTAGCAACATATAACACAAGCATATTCTGCATCCGATGTCCAGAGAAGCCTTATTTTTAACTGGTAGTTAATAGTACATGCCCTAAGCTTTATTTACCTAAAAATATCTTGCTATCCCTGAGCCGGCATTCCATTTACACTGGCCGCACTTGAAATTTAAAGTTCACAAAATTCGTAATTTGTGTGCGAAGCCAAAAAAGGGGGCAAAACAAAAGGCAAAGCCGTAAAAGCCAACAATACAGAGCAATATACAAAGTGCAGTTCTGCGACAGACGAGTCAGGACTAAGCTGAGCACAATGTAACCACCAGCAGAACCACTGCCAGTCGTAGTCCTCGAAACCCAAAACGCAGTACCCAAAATCCGTAACCCGAAACCCACTAACCCCCTCGATTCGCCGCTCAGTGTCATGCAATAAACCATAAAAATTAAGCACTCGAGCCAACAGAAAGTACCGAATGCATTACGAGTGCTCGAAATGTGCAGAGGAAATTTTTGAAAAGCATCCCAGCTAAGCCACCTTGCCGCCCATAAAACGATGAGAATAAAATGCATTTTGTCTGCCAGCCAGGCCACAACACAAAAAGTGTATATTAATATATATACGTATAGTTGCACAAAAGTAATAAAATCTCAAATGGATGAAGAGCTCCGAGCTGCAGCGTAAAAGTTTTTCGGGGCGCAGAGGCAGGAAGCTGGGCTAAAAAGCTTGGCAAACAACATTGGCAATGGGTAGTACTTTGTTTCGGATAAAGATTAGCGCTGACGTCAGCCGCAGAGGATGCAACAATGGCGGCAAGGACGACCCAGAAAATAAAAGTGGGGGAGATAGGAAGGTGGATGCCGGGATGGTCGTGATGAAGTAACTCGCAGGGAGAGGAGGAGGAGAGGTACTGCACCGGTAAGTAAGTAAGTAAGCACACTCACCCTCATCCCTGACATTTCCCATCAGGATGTCGTAGTCCTTCAGATCCGCCGTCTTCATCAGCGTCATGGGATCCGCCGGCAGGAACGCTCCGTCAATGGTGGGCGCCGAGGGGAAGCTGAGTATGCCCGAGTAGGAGTTCCACTGCTGCACCGATATGGTCTTGGCGTCCACGGAACGCATGCAGCTCATCACGTGAGCGGGATTGGTCTGAAATCAGGTGAAAATGCAAAAATGGTCCATTAATGTGCAAGGAAGTATTCCGATACGAGTGACGCGCTAAGGTAAAGGCGTTTTTCCTGTAGTAACAGGATGCAATGTGAGTAAAATAAATATCCTGTAAGTATTGTTGTAATCTAGTGGTCCTTTTAAATAGATGAAATTACAACTAGTGTATTTAAATTCCCATTTGAAAACTATATATTTGCCACCTGTGTTTTTTGTGAACTCAATGATATATCTGTACCCATTTTAGAGTGATTTACCTTCAGCATGGATGCATTGCAGTTACAGTCGTTGATCAGCGCCTTGCCGATCTCCACGGCCTTCTCGGAGGTCATGTGGCTCCAGGGAGCGTTCATGGTGCCCGACTGCATCATGCCCCGCTTGACCAGACCCCTGGTCACCGGCGACATGAGTTGGGCATTTACCGAACTGGATCCAGCCGATTCCCCGAACAGGGTCATCCATTCCGGATTTCCGCCGAAGGCATGGGCGTTGTCCTTTAGCCAGCGAATGGCGAGTGCCTGATCCCATAGGCCGACATTGCCAGGCGCCTCTTCCGCGAACTCTGACGGCATTTCCGGCGCCAGGTGCAGGAACCCAAAGGCGCCCACTCGATACTGGAAGGAGGCCACTATCACATTGCCCACGGCGGCCATGATGTCCGCATTGTAGATGTCCAGGGTGGCCGATCCGGTCATGAAGCCACCGCCATAGATCCAGATCAGAATCGGCAGTCCGTTGGTCGTGTTCTGCGGATTTCCGTTGTGGATGAGATGGTCGGTGTCCGCCTGCTTGCCATTGGCGTGCTATGATCAAAAAGGCAAGAGCTCAGTTAGTACATATATTATTGTCTCCTTCATATACATCAGGATATTTTGCTTGTATTGTATTTTGCTATTTTGTTTCCACACTTACCTCACCACCGTTGGCACCCCGCCCATGACGAAGACGAGCCTTTGCCGGCGCCCAGACATTTATGTAGAGGCAGTCCTCGGACACGTTGGTGTTGGGGTTCCAGATCTCCTCGCCGGAGAAGCCGGGGAAGTACTCGTAACTGGAAAGGAGGAGAGAGGGAGAAGAGCGTTCTTGATTAGCTGGTGACCCATATGCAAATCAAAGGCTGTTTGTGCCACATCTGGAATTCGGTCAAGCCAATTACGAAAAACCAACCAGCTGTGTTATTTATTTTTATTCGCTCTCTCTTCCGTTTTGCCCACTTCACTCTGACTCTGCGATTCATTTGCCCACATAAACACTGGCACACTCACATACGCCCCGTAGTTCCGGGCTTAGGCCCCCACAATTTGACATAGTTATTCCGCTTTATAAATGTTGAATCGCTCGAATCGATATCCCTACGCATTTGTAGAAAGCTCAGCATTTGTCTGTCCGTCTCCATAGATACCTTTGTATATTCCTGTATGCTGGTGGGTGTATGTGTATGCTTAGGTGTGTTTGGCTTCGTGTCCATTAAAATTAACTTTGCCGTTTCGCATAAAAGTAATTTATCACAGAGGCGGGGAGAAAAGACGATTTCTGTTTCCTGCGCCAGCTGCCTGTTTCTGTTTCGCCTTTATCACTATATTTTTCTAATTTCCTTTTGCACACACGATTGAATGGCTTTCCTTTTGGGGTGCGGAAAAACTTTGGTTCTCTATTTCAAGAGCGAAAGTATGCCAAACCAAATGAGTTTGATTAAATAAATGGAAGAGAAGTGGGTGAAATGTTTTTATTTGCTCTGTATCTTTACGATTTTCTTATGGACAGTTGCAAAACTCTTCAGAAAGAAAAACATCAAATGGCAAATCAAATTATGGTATGCAAATTTCATCAAACGAAATGTGTAAGCCATTGTCGAATTGTATTGCACTTTTCATCTAATCTCCACAATCAGTAGATTCACAAAATTCTCTGTTAAATCCCGAGTGCAATTAAATATTTCAACTGCATCAATCAAACGTATCCCCAGAAACAATAGGCATTTCCCTTTTCACACACATTGAATGGCAAACAATGTGCGACTTCAATTGGCAGGGCCAACAAGCTGAGCAAAGTTTCCAATTGGCGTTTTCCGTTTTGACCGGCTTTTTGCATGCACCATGACGTCACTGGCAACAGTTAGGTCAACAGCGAGCTGCCGCTGCAGCCGGGCTGCGATTCGCCTTTCTGGGTCAGATGCAAAAGTGGAGCGTCCCAGCCCTCCCCCTTCTGAACCCCAAATACCCGGAAAGCCAGCGATGACAAATCTCTCGTATTTCCGGAAAGATACCACCCCATAAATTCGCTGTCTTTGCCAAAAACTCAAGCTTGTGCCATTTGATAGATCGGTTTGCTCTTTAGATCTTTGGAAACAAACTACTTCTTGAAATCCCACAGATAGTTATGCGTAATTGATGACAAACCCCGGTACATTTGATACCTTTTGTTATCATTTAGTTAAGGCTTGGACCAAATGCTCAATCTTAAATGCCCTATAAAACAGAAGGTGCACTCACCGTTCCTGGACGCAGGTGGCGGATAAGCGTGTGGCATCGAGGACGCCGTGCCAGGGCTCCGCGGGAACCGGCTTCCGGAAGCGCAGGTCGTCGACGGGCGGCTTGGCGTAGGGGATGCCCGTGTAGACATGCACCTCCCTGCCCTGCACCGTCACGGAGCGACCGCGCACTGGTCCGGAGGACGTCTGCACCACCAGGCGATCCATGACGCCGCAGACGCCAGACAGGTGCAGCGATAGCACCAGTACTAGGGGCAGCGGGATGGCCAGGGGTAGGGGCAAGGACATGGGCAGGACTCTGCTCTGCCGACTGGAGGTGGCCATGACGCGGATGCGCAGGGCGGCGATGGCTGGCTAAAGCGGTAGCGATGGGTGGTGGCCTACTTTGGCCTGACGTCACTGGCACTGACCACTTGTCTCTGGTTCTCTGGCTGTTCGCGATTCGCGATTTCTGCTCGCTGGGTATCTCGGTACGGAACTGGTGTGTCTGGCGGATTCGGGATGCCTGCCCGGCGCTGCAAGCCGCATCCACAACTTATTATCCGGTTGAGTTCGCCGCTGCTGCCACAATTGCCACTTGAAGCTGCCGCCCGTGGGTTGCACTACACATTCTCCCGCCGCAGCAGCTTTAGAATCCGGAATCTGGGAACTGGATACTGGAAACTGAAAACTGGGTACTGGTTGCTCGGTGCTCGCCACTCGAATCTGGTTTCGGATTTATTGGACTTGGCTTAGAGTTTGAAATGGTTTTTAGACGGCGTCCCCTATTCGCTTCGGATTCCTGCGCTGTTGCACTTCTGCAGCGCCCAATCCGGCTGCTCGGCTTTCCTTCTCCGTCTGCGGATGTGTTTGAACTGCAAACAGAAAGAACAGGCATTAAACTATTTGTCTGGACTCCCCGACGGGGTATTTTTAGCTCTGTAGCTGGACGGAAAGAAGCCAGTTGTATACTTCATACATATATATTTTAATTAAATATCCTTCGTTTCGTGATGTGTAGCACATTACAATGTATAAATGCAAACATAACTATACCTTATGCGTTTATATAGATAAACTATATTTATTTTCATAAATGTTTAAGTTACTGCTAGTATGAATTGTATTTGTTATAATTTTTTTATATATTTGTTTATAATATACAATTTATTTTAAGATAATTAGAATCGCCTTCTTCGCATGCACACTTTTCCCAGTTTTCTGTCACTGCACACACACAAACACAAGGACAAGTTGACTTGTTGGGTGCTTGTGCGCCTGTGTCTGTGTGTGTGTGTGTGTGTCGTCTGCCCCCGTTTGTATGCTGCAATATTTATGTGTTTGCCTTTGGGTTAGTCTGTGTGTTTACCACTTGAGCAGAGATGCAAAGCTGCCTCCTTTCTTGGTCTCGGTTTGCATTTAAGACTTTCCGAGTGCCACCTGTATACCCCACCAACCACTCCCACTTCCACCGCCCGCCGGGTAACCCACACACCTGCAGCTGGGGCCACTCACAGGATTCACTGGGATTCTCTCGAGTGGCGCATATCGCTCTCTAAGGCTTTGCCTGCAACGTCGTTAAACATATTTTCTTATACGCTTTCATTAGAGTCACTTGACCAATTTAAGCAAATATCTTTTCAAAACCGAAGTAGCCGAGTAAACCATTGAAACCCAGAGGCATTTTGCGCCGATTAGAAATTTCTGGCACTGGTGCAACCGAAAAATGTACCATTGCTATGAATAGAAAGGATGGATTGACGATGAAACTGTCTTTCAAAGGCACACTAATTAAATGCGTGATGAATACATAAGCGATTTTTTTAGCACACATGTTACTAGATTATGAAATGTGGAATCGATATAAGTATATATAAATAATACTCGCATACATTCCAATGAAAATAAAAAACAAAATAAATACATATTACAAGCTCAGGGGGTTTTCCTGTTTGCTGGCATTTCTCGATAAATAAATCTTGGGAGGCTGTAGTTGGACAAGGAAAACAAGCACTTCCCGTTGGCAAATGTCTTTTTCAGTTTATGTCCTTGACGTTTCGAGCTGCAGCAACTCCTGGCACTGAATTAAGCCAAGAAACTTGAATTTTCTTTGCACTGGGCCTTGCATGCTGACAGACCATTAGAAGTCGGAGCTCGTGTAATAACACCGCTGCCAGGTCCCCTGCAGTTGCACCCCCTGGGTCTCAAAAAGTGCTTTTCCGATCCTTTTGCCTGAAACTTGTCTGTGACTTGCCTGAAAGGACAAAGGAATTAGGAGGCTTTCTCAGCTGGCACCGCAGTAATTTAAATGTTATTTAGCTGCACAATTAAAATGGCATTAAGACGCCACCGAACTGCGAGTTGCACGTTTGCAATTTAATTTGTTTTTCAAACCCCGCCATCCCCTCCTTTCAGAGTGCACATTTTATCCAAATTAGCTTAATTTTCCTCAGGTTCTTTGCATTTTCCACAAGTTTTCCCTAGCAACCCTCGCCCTTCCAACTGTATTTCAAAATTGTCGCTGCCTGTTTCTTGGCTGATAAGACGTCCTGCCCTAAGTGAATATTTTCTTAATTTCTTGCGGTTGCAGCAGTTTTTCGCTCCGCTTTTCCGAGCCGCCGTTTTTCCTACAATTTTTCCGTAAACATGCGCATTTTTTTATCCCGAGTTAGTGAGGGTTTACTTGAGGAGGGGAAAAGCGACCAAAAGTTGTATTTATCTTACTTTATTTGATGTCTGCCAGAGCCGCGAAGCTCACAATTTAAACGCTTAGTTTCAGCTGAGAGAAGTATTTCTTCTTGCAAACTGTGTTCATAAAGTTGCAACTTCAAAGTTGGCTCAAGCAGCCACTGAAATGCAAAGTGTGTTTTAACTATGAGGAGCAGTCTTAGTTTAATTTGAATCAACTGCAGAGAAAACTACACAATTTATAAAATTACTATCGAAAGTCCGAGAAATATGCTTCAAAGCTTAATTATTCTTTTCTGTATATTTTTATATTGTTATCAAAACTTGTTATGAGAAATTTCCATTCAAAAACATGTTGTTTCAGCAATTTAATTTATTCACAAAAGCATTCTAACGTATCCAAAAACATCTATTCTAAAACATTTTAATTGAGATGCATCTTTTTCCGACCTTGTTATTGTGGCAACATGTTTTCTGTGTGGCATAGTTTTTCCTGTTTTGTAGTCCTCATTTTTACCTTTCCATGGAAATCCTTCGAGTGCTGCCATGGATATGATAACCCAACGAGGGGGAAAGCGATAGCCGGAATATGAGCGTTAGAGAGAGACATTGGAGTGCGCGAAAATTTTAATGACATTCAAATTAAATTATAATTTCAAAAGTTTCGGCGCGCAGAGAGCAGTGAGCGTTGCTGATGACGACGATGACAAGGACATGACCAGGTGGCACAGGTGAAAGGCACCGCCCACCGTCCGCTTTTCCCGCAACCTCACAGCCCTCGCCATCGGGTCAGCTTTGTTGGCCAAAGGTCACAGCAATAGCAGAGGAAAATGGTTTGGCACACCCCCGATCTCCTCCCTGCCCCCAATCAACCTTCTCTATTTCTCCGCTCTTCCACCCCCATCGCTTGTTTATTTTCCTTGCGTTTGTTTTCAAAATTTGGCAAATGCGAAAAAAACATGGCCAACGACAAAACGAAATGGTAAAAGCCAAAGGGTAAACAACACAAAGGCAAGCGAAACAAAAACAAAAACGAGAGACACCAAAAATGACGGGGGAAAATTAAAACTCGGAAAAGCCGAGTGAGTGAGTGAGTGAAAAGTTAACTGAGTTTTGCTTGTGTTTTCATTTTTGTTTGCGACGTTTTGATGTTTGGCGTTCATATTGTTTCACTTTATTTGGGTGAATATCGAGCTATATATCCCGAAAAAACTTTTCAATTTTTTTTTGCAAACTGAAAAACGAAATTTTAAAAATTTTAATTGATCAAGGCATTCCGAAAAATAAAAGCACACTTTTAAAACGAATTTGTCCGCACTTAGATAATTATTATCAATAAAAATAAATTTTTTTTATTTTGATGTTAGTTACCACCTTTAAAAGGTTCGTGTCGAACATAGGTAAGCAATTGTTTTCGGTGTACGAGGTTAGATGTGTCTGCTTTAATTGATGAGTTGAAGAGGGTAATAGAGGGCCGGAGACCGCCAGTCAGCGAAGCTTAATTGGAGCGCCCCTATATCAAATGCAAGAAATGAGGGACAGGTATGTATTATGGGCTGAATAACTTAAGGACAATCGGCCAAAATGGTTCTCTTGTCTAAGACAAGGTTTAAAATTAGCTGCAAATTTCAGTCACACGAAAGTCAGCCTTCAAGAAAATCAAATTTAAGAACAGTTTTAGCGGCAGCATTAAAGCCAGAACGTTATCAGGTATATCTCGCTTAGCAAATCTTACTTAATATTTTCTTAATTCATTTCTGTGCAATTTATTCCGGTCTATAAACCGCTGCGCAACCATTAAACCCCAAAAAATATGGCCATCTGCTTTAATGAGCCACAATCATCATCAAGTTTTCACTGACCATTTGACCTTTTCATTTGGCAGGCGGCAGGACTCCGATCACAGGCCTTTAGACCAGCCATTAAGCGAATGTCTGGCGCCAGGCAAACTATAAAATAAATGCTTGGGCGTGGCAGAGGCGGAGAAAACTCAAAGACCAACGCGTCCAGAACTTATTTTTCCTGTACACAAAACTGCTCAAAGATCGGGCCATTCTAATTTATATAAATTTGTTTTTAGCGTCACAAAATAATATAGTTATGGATTAGGGTATAATAATCTTACATGATAGGATCCTTTACTCAGGGCAATCACCAGCACCAAGTCCTTTTTCATTCAAGATAATTTATATTACATTTTGAAACGATTATTTTAGTTCTAGACCAGACTTGATTATTTAAAAATTCTTTGCTTCCTTAACCTAAGCATGATAAGAACACATTTAATTTCTTTTGAGTACAATAGTAGCCTTCAGACTGAAATAAAATTACACCACCCATGCAACTGAAACTATAAGCAACACGTTATTAAATTCGGCATATGAAAACTATTAAAGATTTTCATTTCGATATGTGCCACAATTTCCATTCCTCGTTAGAGTGTGTGGAAAAACTACCTACTAAATGTGGAAATTGCACAGCATGAGGCGAAAAAACTGAGAGCCAGTGGCGCTTAGTTTTTTATTGCATGGCGCCGCATGTGGCGGCTGCGGCGATTGAAGTGTCCCCCGAGAGGGGAGTGGGCCATGGAGCAGTGGGCTGTAGGTGGGTGGTAAGTGGGCGTGGGGCTGCAGGAGGTGGGTGGCGCCGGCAGTACGTCCGGGCACGAGTTTGGCTTTAGTGGCTCTCGACCGTCACCGGGGCTCGTTAACGCTGAGACGCTCAATTTAGCGCGACTTATTTAGGTTGGCGCTCCACTTGCCTCCGCCTGTGCCCGTGTGACTGACCTTGATGATATCACCGCAGCCGCGTCGTCGTGGTCATCGTCATCCCAGGAGCAGTTCCCCTCCTGGAGGACACGACCTTTTCCCATTCGTATTCCAATTCCTTTTCCATTCCCAGACCCATAAATATACAACGTTTTCAAATAAACTTAATACAGAAATCGCGGATAAATATCTTAAATGGTTCCCATTTCAAAACTCGTAGTTTAGTTATAGCAAAGAGCTTACCGCCTAACAAAAGTAAATAGAGATATTTGGTAAACAAAACTACTTAATTGCGTATTAATGTCGATAGTTTTCTCCCTGCACTCCAAGGCATGTGCGAATCTCTCTCGGGTGGGCTCCCAGCTCACACGGCACTAACCCTCGAGCACACAAGCCCCTGCCCTTGGTGTCGATGTCTT